ATGTGAGTTATTAAATCGAGATGCTATATAAAGAGATATACGCGTGTCTCAGCACTTGCGAGAATTTGCGAATATCGATAGACCTCTGATGGCGGGTCGACGTAGTATTATTCTTCGTAATATTCATCAAAAGTAAGAAAGTAGAGGTAGTACACCGATTCTACTCCTGGAGCTCCGAGGGGGGTGAGCGGCGAGGGGAACCCTAGGCGCGGGGGGTATGACGTCACGGGAGGGGAGGGGGAGACGAGCCGCCTTATCGCGCGGGCCGCCGCCGCCGCGCCGCTCCCTCGCCCTAACCGTCGCGCCACCACCTCCTCACCCTAACCGCTGTTTTCAAAAACCGCCACCCCCTCACCCTAACCGCCGTGGGATACATTTCTATGCACCGAGATGTTATTTTTTTAGTATGAAATTTCAAAAGCTGCCGCCACTCTTTCGAGGCGACGACATCATCAAATAAGTTTTTCAAAAGCCGCCACCTCCTCCCCCTCCCCCCCTCTCCCATATACTAAGAGACAAGTGGCTCGAGTTCAAGAACCATTGCAGAAAGGAGCGCGTCCCGTTCGTAGTCTACGCCGATTTGGAATGCGCATTGGAGAAAACGGCTAATGATCCAACAACCTCCACGTATACATACCAACATCACAACGTCTTCAGTATCGGGTATTACGTGTACTGCTCGTACGACAACTCGCTGTCGGGCTATCGTTTTCACCGCGATAAAGACTGCATATCATGGTTCGCGGATGAATTGAAAAATTTAGCACATAGTGTGCAATCTATAATTTCAACCAATGTTCCCATGGATTTCACGCGAGACGACTGGGAAGAATTTAACAACGCCACGCACTGTCACGTGTGCGAGAAACCGTTCATGAAAGATGATAAGCGGGCACGCGATCACTGCCATCTCACCGGGCGATACAGAGGTCCCGCGCACTCAAATTGTAATTTAAATTATAAGAATTCGCGTTGCATACCCGTAGTCTTTCACAATTTAACCGGTTACGACGCTCATTTCATTATCAAAGAAATTGCCACCGCGTACGAAGGACGGGTAGATTTATTACCGATAATTAAAGAAAAATATATATCTTTTACTAAACACGTTGATGACACTTGTGCCGTGACACTTTGTGTCCATCACTCGTGAGTGCATTGGCATGAAGATCCTGTGTCCTCTAAGCTCGAAGGGCGGGGGCACAAGCGAGCGTGCCAAAAATTTATATTTTTTGTTTCATTTTGTATATTCCTTTACATAAAATATTTAGTAATTTCAGATTTTGAAAGAACGATTATTAATCACATTAGAGCGTAAGCGTTGGTATTGTAAATCCGTGTAATGTTGCCGCCTCACTCACGGAAGGAAGAAAGAAGACGCCGCCGAGGAAGCAAGAAGCCACCGAAGGAGATCCCGATTGTGTCCTCGGGGAGCGCGGTACACGCAGGTCGTATTGTTTTGTAACCTTTGATAATTTGGATGTTATTTGGCGATTGTCGCACATTATTGCAGACGACTCGGAGAGAGACGTGATAAGGGACCGTCTCAGCGCGGCACGAACATTGGCAGCCGCCTCCACTTCTGGGGAGAGCGAGAGAAGACCACTGATCAAGACGGAAAGCATCGGCCAGCTAATTTGGAAAAGCGCGCCGAGCACTCAAAGGATACGCAACCCACAGGACACACTGTAATTGGTCGCGGGGTTGCGCGGCTCCAATAGACCAATTAGAACAAGCGGCCCGATAAGAGAGGGTCTAGCGGCCTGCGTGGATCCGCGAATGCTCCCGATCATCACTTGCGCGGTAATCGATCCTGTGTAAGGAGGACGCAGGATCTTCGTAGCTGTATCGAGCTAATCCTTTGCCGTTGCCGGAGACAGGGAAAAACTACTGGAAGGATCGACGAGGAAGAATCCAGTGGTGAGGCGGGCGTCATCTTATAATTTCTGTAAAACCACCGATTGCGGTAGGTGACATACGTCTCGAGCGGAGCACACGTTAGGCTTTACTCCGATTTTTCGTTGCCGATTCCGGATCGGTCGCCTACAGGCGTTTCGAGTCAGCGTTGCCGTGAATACGTGCCCTCCGCTCAGACGTTCTACTTTGAGAATGTATAATAGTGTAGTTTCTCGCCCTCGTTGGCGCCAAGTTGCTTGTGTAATTGTTAATTATTGAGAATTCTTTAAAGTCGAGACTGGCGTTATTGCGTATTAGAAAACCGTTGCCGTCTAATGTAAAATCGAATGTACTACTTGTTCACGAAGTGATTTATTGTTAACGTAATAAGATCCAGATTTGATCGTATATTTTCTGCTCGGCGAATTATTGCCGAATTTACTTTCTGTGTCGACGGCCAGTTAATAGTCGGTTTATTGTTATTGCGCCACATACCAGAGCGCGGAAGGTCAACGCTGTAACGTATTTTCTTTCGAACACTTTTGTACAGTCTCTATCAAATATATTGATTTCTCTTTATTGTCATCATTAATTCTGGTGCATTTATTTCAGCCTCTCTGTCTTTCTCCGACAATCTTTTCCGCTTACCGCGAACCACTCCCCTCTGCCAATACCGTTGGATGAGCTAGTTATTTCGTCCGTCGCGAGAATCCGCGTAATCTTTAAATTTTTGTCCGATCAATTTATCTAACCATTTGTGCGAAGAGTGGCACGCTCTCTCATGCCTGGCGCTCGACGAATTTTTGATAGCGACTAAGATCTTCGCTGAGCGAGGTAACTCGTTAACTTTTGTAAAATCTCGAATCACGCGAGAATTATTGACGAACCGCACTATTGCTCCAGTAAGTATTATTAAAACCACATACGAGCTTTCGCATCATGAGATTTCTTAGGAGAACGCGACGAAGTTGTGCCGGCACTTAAAAGCACGGTTACACACTGTAGATGATAAAAAAAATTGTATACAATTACGTTTCATAGATTCATATAGATTTATCGCTTTTAGTTTAGACAAATTATTATCTTTTCTCAGTAAAGATAAGCTGCGGGTACTGCGACGCGAATTTTCCCATTTATCGGAAAAAAATTTTAATCTTTTAACACCAAAGGGTGTCTTTCCGTACGAGTACATTGATTGCAGTGAAAAATTGAATTAATCGTGCTTGCCGCCTCGCGATTCGTTTTACAGTTCATTGACGGACGCCACGGTATCCGAGAGCGATTACGCGCACACACTCAACGTGTGGCAGCGGTTCTCCATCCAAACGCTCGGTGAATATAGCGATCTGTATCTAAAAACGGATATCTTGTTGTTGGCTGACATATTTGAAAATTTCCGCGATAGCTGCATTGCGAGTTACGGGCTTGACCCCGCGTATTATTATACCATACCTGGCTTCACATGGGATGCCATGTTGAAGCATACAGGTGTAAAATTTGAACTGCTCACAGACATCGACATGGTCATGTTTGTCGAGCGCGGTATACGCGGTGGTCTGAGCCAGTGCTCAAATAGGTACGCGCGAGCCAACAACAAATACATGTCGTCGTACGACTCATCGAAATCATCATCGTACCTAATGTACTATGACGTCAACAATCTCTACGGTTGGGCAATGTGTCAACCATTGCCATACGATGATTTTCGATGGGTCGACGACGTGCAAAATTTCGACTTTTCGACCATCGCGCTAGATTCACCTACAGGTTATATTCTCGAGGTTGACATTGAGTACCCGCAACATCTCCACGACGCGCACACTGACCTACCGTTCTGTCCAACGCGAGAGAAACCACCCGGCAAGCGCGATGACAAGCTCCTCGCGACGTTATGCGATAAGCAGCGTTACGTGATTCATTATCGCAATCTGCAGCAGTGTACTCGTCACGGCCTCCGTATCGCAAAGATTCACCGTATACTGCAATTCACGCAATCTCCATGGCTTCGCGATTACATAGAATTAAATACAAAATTTAGAACTTTGGCAAAAAACGATTTTGAGAAAAATTTATACAAACTTATGAATAACGCGGTTTTTGGTAAAACCATGGAGAATGTGCGCGATCGCGTTGATGTAAAATTATTAACCAAATCGGAAGGCAGACACGGTGCCGAAGTAATGATCGCGAAACCTAACTTTCACAGTCGTAGCGTCTTCTCAGAGAATCAGGTCGCGATAGAGCTGCGTAAACTCGAGGTGAAATTCGACAAACCGATATACGTGGGTATGTGCATCCTCGATATATCGAAAACGTATTTGTACGAGTTTCATCACGAATATATGGCACCGCTGTTTCACGATAAATGCAAAATTATGTATACCGATACTGATAGTCTCATATATCATGTGGAATGTGATGATGTATATGAAATTATAAAACGCGACATAAATAGATTTGACACTAGCGATTACTCTATTGACAATCCATATCGCATTCTGCTCGCGATTAAAAAAGTTCCAGGTCTTATGAAAGACGAAAACAACGATGCCATCATGACTGAATTCGTCGGGCTTAGAGCGAAAATGTACGCTTTACGTGTGCAAGGAAAGAAGGATACGAAAAAGGCAAAGGGTGTCAAAAGCAACGTTGTGGCAAGATCCATAACGTTTGATGATTACACGAAATGCTTGAATGATGTTATTGAAATGAGGCGAAGACAATCGTACATCAGATCGAAATTACTTGAGGTGTATACAATATCGGAAACAAAAATCGCTCTAAGTCCACATGATGATAAGCGGTATATCGTATCAGGATCCACCGACACGCTGCCATGGGGACATTACCGGTGTAAATAAAACACATATCATATACATACATACATATAACTTGTATAAAATGTATAATATATTTAATATATAATATGAAATATAATTTGTAAAGGATATTTAATACACTTTAATGTAGGATATTTAATATACTTTTATGTATAATATATAATTTATATAATGTTTAATTTTATAATATATAATTTATAATTTATAATTTTATAATACATTGTCATTATGAATCCATGAATTGTGTGATTTGTGAAGTCCCAATCATTTCACATAAACCTCGTTTCCTCTTTTACGCAACACTTTTTCAACAAGGTATACATCGGGATTAGCGACTCGATGCAGTTCGTATACGTAGAATCCTCCAGCTATGAGCTCTCCGCGGGAATCCTCCAGTAGATACGTCACTGGATTAGTTTGCTGCACTTTGATAGTAATGTTAAATACCTCCGTGGTCCAATTCGGTGTGAAACCTTTTTCAAATATTGTCTTGAATTTGCTTACGCGTACCGCATCGCCCACTTTGAATTTTGCAGGACCCGCGATCTTTATCGCACTATACACCGTGCCCAGGAGTCTTTCGGCGATCGCGGGAGTTAAGTCAGCGGGTCGCATGTTGATAGTGCGATGCTAACGCGCGTTGTAATCCGACACGAGACGCGGCAGCATTTCGATCCATTTATAGGTTCCGTTGTATGTAAACTGTTTCCACATGTCATTCTTCAATGTACGATTGAATCGTTCGACGACCGATGCCTTCATTACGGAATACGTAGAATAATGATTGATGTTGTGCTTCTTGAAGAGTTTCTGAACATCCGAGTTGTAAAATTCTTTTCCTTTGTCAGTCTGCAAATTTTTCGGACATCTTTGGTCGTTTCGAATTATATTTGCAATTACCTGCGTCACCTCGTTCTAGCTCTTAACTTTGAGCGGCATGGCCCATGCATGCTTACTCAGCACGTCGATGACAGTGAGAATGTAGTGGTAACCTCTGTTGAAGCTCGTATACGGACGCATTTCGACTACATCCGCTTGCCACAGATCATCGTATCCGTGTACTATGACACGTCTTCGCGGGAAATTTCTTCTCGCCGGAACATGTAATTTCTCTACCAGCGATCGTTTCTCAGACATTCTTCTCTTCTCGAATCTTCTTTTCAAAATCATTTAACATAATTTGCACGTTATTCTGAAATGACGTTATCTTTCTTTCAATTTCATCAAGACGAACTTTCAAATCTTGAACACTCTGCTGCACGTATCGTTTGTTTGCTGCGTCAGTATCATCCACTGGTAGTGCTAAACGTCGAATCTTACGCAACTTTGCGTCAAAATCGGTTGCAGCTCGACAAAGAGCGTTATCGCGCACGTAATTTCTGAACAATCCACACTACTGATAGTGCGATTCGCTTCCTCCTCCGAGCGACAGTCCAAACTTGTTGATCGGCATTTCAATGTCGACTGATCGACATGTATAGATCATGATCAATTTATAATCAGTCCGGCTTCTCGAAGTTCTTCGATAATCGATAGAATCTCGTTGTCGTGACCATTGTGACCTGCCTGACGCGAGGCTTCGAGTAATCGCAGACGGTCTACAAATTCGTCGGGATCGTCCCAATGTACGTAATAAATCCTGTTGTCGGTTAATGACATGGCGCACGGCAAATCGAGTTTTTTCATTATACCAGTCCCAATCTTTTTATCCAACACCAATGGTGCGATGATGTTCTTGTACTTGTGTCCCCTGTTACCCAATACCAGCGTTATGACGACGCCGATAAGCGTTTGTTGTCAACAGAATGCTACTGTAAGTCTGTATATCATCATCAGTGCATATACTTTCGTTGGGAAATTTCATAAAGATCAATTCGTACAGACCCGGTGTTCCATAGTATCTTTTTTCATCTATAATTATGTCGTCGTTTTTGCTTAAGGTGATACGTTTGTCACCGATCATCGTTCCCTCGTCGCTAAAGTAGACTCCATACACGACGTCTATGTTGACGGCTTTCTTTCCGCACAAGACCGCTTTCAGATATCTCTGTCCCAACGGACCATAGTTTGCATGCAGTTTTTCTTGCCCCTCGGATGTTTGAAGCAGATGTCGGATGGATGTTACGATCGATTCATTTGCAATCTCGAATACTTCTTCAACGGATGGAGCGTGGTCGTACGATAACTCGCGCGATCCTGTTATTTCAGACATTTCGTTCAAAATTTATGGTACAGTTTTCGATCTATTCAACGTTGATTTCACAGGTGTGGAAGCCTGTATAGGGCTATCGTACGAATCGTTCAGTCGTTTTCGCTTCGGTTTCGGTTCCTCGTCTTTCTCCGAAAAGAATGTTTCAATGTTGATAGGTTCCTTGGACGATTCAACAGTGTTTTCAACAATTTGTTTCAACGGTTCGGTAATAGGTTTAAAGTGTCTCTCCAACGCGATCTCCTCCTCCATTTTACCAGTCTTCAAAGCGCGATACTTTTTACGAATTGAATCGCTCGTTTTCGCAATCTCCATGGCTATCTTCTCATGATCTTTGTTGCTGTCCATGTTGCACAGTCAGCGTATCGATGACAACTGATCGCTTCACGGTACCGCAAAGTCATTAAATCCTTTTCTGTATCGTCCGTTAGCAAGCGCACTGTCCTTATCAATTACGAGAAATCCATACTTTTGCTGCCAACATTTACGACACAAATCGCAGAAATCTTCGTATAGCATGTCGGTATTGACATGATCGTTGTACACGCGATCGTTTCAGGTTGGTTCCATCCTGCTTAAACAGAATCAACAGATTTGCATTGTCGGTATCTTTGCATACGTCTGACAGAGATAGAAGCAGTCAACGTTCGCGTGGCGACCCATTGCAAAATAATCTCTTATCGCGTCTTGCTTGTCGCATGCCACGTCATCAAAGATAAAGATTGAATTCGGAAGCACCTCGCTCGGTGGAATGATCTCGCTGTTATTGGAGAATGTAAAATAGTTTATTTCTTCGATCGGTGCTAATAAATTTTCGAGATATCTATACTTTGGTTGTAGCAGAGATTTCGAATAAACGTATACGTTTTCGAAGCGTATACCGTTCGGCTCTCCAACAAACTTAACAGTACATTCGTCTTGCCGCAATTCGACGGGCCGTAAATGATTGCGCGAATAGAACTCGGGGTAAATCTTCGGAATAGGGGAAACAGCTCCGATCTTCTTGACCTTGACATATGTTGTCAAGGTCATGACCCTGAGTAACTTTGCCTTAACAACTAGCCGTCGCTCGCCCTTCGTTAAAAAGATATTAACAAAAAAAGTTTCAAAAATAACGTCCTATTTCTGCTCTATATACAGTATTAAATACTATTCTACATAGGTTTTGACCTTCCACGCGAAGTAACTTTTAC